CTGAACTGTGTAGTAATTACGGCGCATTATCTAATATCCGACACTCCGGAGTCACATGGCGAGAGTGGCAACAACAATGCTGCGATCGCTTGTCGGATTAGGTTCAACTTTTGTGCAGGGCGGATGTTCGTAAAGCGGAGGCCGTGACATGGTTTACAGGAAGCAGATAAAACAACTGGAAATAGCTTATTTTGAGCATAAAAATGCAATAATATGAGTTTGCTGCTCCCACATGCTGTATTAGTTTCACGTATTCTGCTATGAGCCAATATGAATCCCTATAAAGCCATATTGTGGTTGTTGGGCTGCTCTGTCCTCTGTGTTGTGTTCGGATCGGTCTGTTTGTGCTGGTGTGTGGCGGCTGGATGTTTGTATTCTTCAGCCACCTCGGGGGACGGTCGGGGTCGCCAGTCACTGACACTATTAGTCTGGGGGTCGGGTGCAGAAAAGTTTGGGAAACCCTGGTTTAGTGTTTTTTGTTTTTTTGCAGCACACTTTGTTGACAGCAGACACAAAGCAAAGCAGCAGCAGCAGGAATCACACGGTTAGTGAATATGGATCTTTCCATCTAAACTATAACTGATGATCTGGTTCAGTCAGAGCAAAAGCTGCAACTTAAAGCCTTCGTCCTGTTATCAGGGATGCTTGTTTCAGTTAGCATTCCACGCTGCAGCTTTTGGAAAGACTAAATATTTCAATGTGATGCAGCTTTTGTGGACAAACACACATACTTTGAATAGAAAATATAGACGTATGCTCAGCTGTGTAATAAACTGGAAGACTGTATTCCTGAAGTGCATTATGAGCTCTTCAGTTCAGATTCACTAGGCCTGAAAACACCGCTGCACCGTCACACTGTCGAGTCATTATTTATCATGAAAAACACAGCTCGTCCTGAACGGTGACTGAATATTAAACACGCTTTTTCAATCCTATCTGGTCCAGTTCTTGGGACGCACTTATTCCATTTTGTCAGCTGTGGCACAAGTCCACAGCCTCGTGGTGTTTGGAGCCTGGAAATTTTTCACAACATTAGCTGATAGTTAAAAGTCAAATTCAAAGGCCCCTTTTACAGAGAGTGCAGCGCTTAGCGGCGCCTCAAATATTACCCCTCCTTATTAATATTCACTGCATTACGCTGTGCATTCTACCATCCACTTGAAAGCCAATTACTGTTGAAAAGTCCACCACTCTCACCCTGCAATCTGCGACAACAGGCATACCTGCTGGTATGAATTCTGAGTTTAAAGTTTGCTAATGTTTACACGGGAAAATGCTACCAAAACGGAAAGAGAATGGAAAATAATGCAGCGTGAACAGTATTTGCATTCTGTCACTGCGCACACATGGAAATGGGATGCAAATTTATGCAACAATGGCGCTTTTATCAAGATGTAAATAAACGTTTGTATGCTAATTCCACTGATGATGAGTCAGTTATTCATCAAAAGCAGCTTTTTTTTTTTTTTACATTTGGTTTTTAATCGTTGTGCGGTTAATGTACAACATGTATTGTCCCTGTTTTCATGCAGGCCTGCAGTTAGCAGAGGTGGGAATCTTTGACAATCTTGTGCCGTGATTCGATTCAGGATCAGGTCTCGATTCCAAAATGTTTCTGTGAACGTCTGCTGCTGTGTGCCGACCGGCTGACTGTGAAACATAACTGACAGCTGAGCTCAGTGGATCTGATGAAGGTCAATGTATGACTAACTAAAAATCAGAGACATTTGTGTGAGTGTTCTGCTTTTATTTCTTTGAGGTGGTTAGCTGACAATATGAACTTTGAAGCATCTGACAGTCTTCTACCTGCGTCAGATTTAGCAAAAGTGTGATTTATCGGTTAGCGTCACTGGCTACCTGTTTCTGTGTGAAAACGGAGCGTCGTTAGCAGTGGAGAAACGTCTCTCTGCTTGGGGGAAGCCAACATTTACCAAAACGCTGTACAGATGCAGGACTTTGACTGTAGACTGAGTTATCATCTTTGCTCCACTGTGGCTGGTTGAAGTTTTGTAAAGTGCTGCAGCGTGTTGGTCAGCAGGTTTCATTGGTTGGTTGAAGGAGTTCAGTGCTCTGATCTGCTGCTTCACCACTGAGCAGGTACATAGCAGTCAGAAAATTAGTTAATTAGTAAGTTGTTAAATCAGAAATGCACCCAAACACGACAAGATCAATCCCATATGTGCTGTACATCATCCAGATGTTTCCGTTGTTGAGGTCCATCTTTTCATCCGCTCATTGTTATCAACTGAAATTTAATTTTTCAGAATTGATTCACAATTACACAACAAGAGAATCACAATTTGCATGTGAAATAATTGTTTTCACCCACCTGGAGAAGTTAGATAACACCACTGGCACAGTAGGTCAGGTTATAGTTCACCTCCAGACACACGCCACCATGACAACTGGAGATGAGTGTTTTTTTTTTTAAGGTGATGTCTTTTCAGCAAACACAAAAATTGTCGACGTTTGTTTTTCAATTGAGGAAGCGCTCCGGTCCAGAGCGTCCTGCCTCCGTGTATCGTACGGTTGTCACTGTGCACTAGTGTGGATGAAGCACCAGGAGCATTCAGCCAAGTCCACGCTCAGTAAAACGAGTCCTTGGTGAAAGACTTGTAGCGTCGTCGGTGTTTGTCAGCGACGTTGGCTTAGCCGGCGCCGTTTGTGAATGAAGACACATTAACACTCAGCGAAGGTCTCACGTGTTAAACGAGCACAGCGTCATCTATCACTGTTTTTTCTTTCGCACATTAATCATTACAAGTCATGACTGTGAATATAAAGGAGCGCAGCGGAGTTTTATACATTTTTAAAATATGCAGAGACTCGCGAGCCTTGAGTCAAGCACAAACCACTTGTAAATTCAAACCTCTTAGTCAAGTCAATGACATTTTGACAAGGAATAGCATTAGATTTATTTAAGGTGTCATGATGTTATGAATTATTAAAGCCGCTTTAAATGCTGTTTTGATTTTTTTTTTTTTGCGCGCGAATGGCTTTTGTGTGAAACAAAAAGCTTCTTGTAGGACTATTGTAAATCCCTGCACTGTGAAGGTGGATTCAAAACCACAAAAGTCTATCACGCTCATGTTTCCTTTTTTTAAAAAAAATTGCATCAAAGCTGGTTGACGTTTCTCAGTTTGCAGATGAATTGCCAGTCCACATACCTCCGTAGGACTGTGGCTGCTGGTTGTGACGGCCCCAGCGCTTGGTTACCAGGGCAGAATATTGATTTAATCCTTAAGGGCTGTGGTCATATCCTTGGCAGGGCACCTATTGTTATGATAATAAGTCATTCCCGGCCAGCCAATGAGCGATAATCTTGTTTGGTCCTGGGAGAAATTAAAAGGTTTGTCAGAATGGCGTGGTGAACTTTTAACCCCAATAAAATCGCCAACTCCATTACTGGTGAAGCCTGAAAATTTCATGTAGTCACAGGCAGCAAAGCCACGGCTGCTGAAATGGGTTTTGGATCACGCCATTGCTTGGAACCACACAAAATAAAAAAAATAAAAATAATACAAGAAATGACAAAATGTAAGATCAGGTAATTGTTCAATTATATTCAATAATTAAGAAATTGTTTATGCAAACGGTTCAGAAAAATGTATTTGCCTGTTTAATTAATTCATGTTTTAATATGAATGATTAGGGTACAACGTGGACATTTCTAGAACATCGTTTAGCTCTGATTACGCAATAAACATGCAACCTGTGGCGTTCTTTGCGACGCCGACGACGGACGGACGGACGGGCTGCAGGAGCAGATTAGAGAATAATACCACGGCGAAGGTGGTGTCCAGATTGAGAGACTTCCCCTGTGAGCACAGACACACAAGCAAAGCAGCCATTCAGCAGTGGGATGGATCCTGACTACTAAAGAGGAAGAGGGAGAGAGAGAGAGAGAGGGAGGCTGGAAAAAGAGAGAGAGCGAGAGAGCGAGAGAGGGAGCGCAAGAAATGGGGGAGTGGTGGGAGAGAGAGAGAGAGAGAGAGAGAGGAAGCGAGAAAGAGAGTGAAAGGCTCCACACGGCAGAATATAAATCTGTATGTTAACAGGACTAAAGCTTGGGGTCTTGAAGCGGCTTTAGTGGTTGTGCCGGTGGGGGGTGGCCATAAAGCGTCAAGAGGTGGTCTTCTCTATTAACTGAGGATCTGTGCAAATAAGGAAGTGGGAGCCGCGGAATCGGTGAACGCCGGTTGTCAAGCACAGTGGTGGGCTGGTCGGAGGTCTCTGACCCCCCTCATTTCCATTCCTGGAAGAGCAGAGAAGCGCAAAAGAGACACGAGAGAAAAGAGGAAGGTGGCAGCGAGGGACCAGTGAGCCATTTCTCTCTTTATTACCTTCATTCACAAAACCATTGCATCCCATTATCACAGCGATGTAGAGGCATTCTTCCGATTGGAGGAGGAAGGGTCCCATTGACTGCTGAGGCTTAGCACCTCTCTCCAAACGCTAGCCCTTTTCATTGCAGTCTCTCCCCCCCCTACCACCACCACCACCACCACCACCACCCCCACGCCTCCTCATCTCTCGCCTCTATCCTTACGTCTGCTATTTTCTCTGTTCCCTCTTTTTCTTGTCCCTTGTATTCTTGCTCCTTTTCACACCACTCAGGAATCAGGAGGCATTGCGTTTTGGGTTGAAGTGGGTGTTTCTGTCATTGTGTTTGGTGCCGCTACAAAGGACAGCTGAGCAGGGAGTGTGAGAGACAGCTTTGGAGATAATAAAACAGCAGCCTGAAAGAAAAGGGGGGACCTGGGACTAAAGGAACAGCTGACAACCAATGGAATGCGAACTGTGATGAAAAGAAAACTCTCACAGAGACTGACAACCATTTTAAGGTAGCTATTTATTGAGACCATTACCACTTCTGGAGGGAATAAAGAAGCAGCGTACCAAACCAACACTGCTGGTTGGATTCTGCTTTTTCCTGTTGCTAAGCAAAGTCTCTAACCTGAAGTTCTTGGGGAGACAGTGCTGAGCATCACTCTACAGCCATGAAAGGAAGCTCAGAGGAAAGCATTGAAAGCGTCAGGCCCTCCAACCTGCAAGCTTTCGCCAACATTTCCACCCTACATGGCATGAGTCACATATTCGCCTATGGGCACATGACATTCCGGCGGTTTCTTTGGACTCTCTCGTTCCTGGGTTCACTGGGCTTACTGATGCTGGTCTGCATGGATCGGGTGTCGTATTATCTGGAGTACCCTCACGTCACCAAGCTGGACGAAGTGGCGGCAACGAACCTCACCTTCCCAGCAGTCACCTTCTGTAACCTCAACGAGTTCCGCTTCTCCAAAATCACCAGGAACGACCTCTATCATGTGGGGGAGCTGCTGGCCCTCCTCAATAATAACTACCAAATAGCCAACCCACACTTGGCTGAGCCCGAGGTTCTGGCCGCCCTAAAGGATAAGGCAAACTTCCTGAACTTCAAGCCCAAGCTGTTCAACATGACTGACTTCTATAACCGAACCGGTCATGACATCAACGACATGCTGCTGCAGTGCACCTTTCGAGGAGAGGATTGCTACCCGGTAAACTTCACCACAGTGAGTAGCCACGCTCTTATCTGGATGTGCTGTGATTCCTGCACCGTGTGTCTGCTGTTCTATTTCCTGCCACGTCTGACGGTCTGTCGCTCTCTTTTATGTTCAAATGGGCTTCGACTCGGCTTCAGTGCGACTTGTGCAGTCCGTTCGAAACAGACGTCTGACTTCAGTGCATGTGAAGCCGGAGCGATGCTGTGGTTTGTTATTGCTAAAGTGTGCTGAGTAAAGCTGTCGTTGTCGGTGCTCCTGCAGCCGATGCTTGTTCCAAGAGCAAACAGTGCATACAACCTGTGATGAGGTCGCGAGGTGAAATGCTGCCATCACTAGATCTCTGAAGACAGGTTGGCTTCCAAGAATACAGAAAACATTTCATCAGGTGCTGTGCATGTATCACTGCACCTTGAGGAAACACTTTAGTTAACATGACGTGCTGCACTGAGGTCAGATTGAAGGTTTAAGTCGTTGTTTTGACTAAAAAAAACTCTTCAAATTGAGGTTCACAGCTGCTTTTTTATGATGTGTTTTCTATTTTGATTGCTCAGATATTCCTCAAACAAATAATTTCTCTGCTGTCACTAAAAAACAATCAACAGATTTAGTGTTTTACGAAGATTATTTTAGAAATCATTGAGGAAGAAGGTGCGATGGAGTTCAGCGAGCATTCCTGCTCTGTGCTTTGATTCATTCTACACTCCATTTGGCAATAACTCCTGATTCACTGTGCAGCATGAATGAAGTTCACTAAAACGCAACGTGCTTCCTTTCGGTTGTGTGTCGTCAGTCGTTCCGTACTCATTCCGAGACGTGGTTTGCTAAAATAGATAGCGGCGTGACGTGGGCCGCGCTACTGTGTCGTTAATTAATTGAAAGTAATGGGATAAATGAGTCAAAGCAGAGCCCTTCATGTAGGAGTTGTGTTGATGCATCCTCTAAAGATTTGAACACACCCAAGTGCTGCAGCTGCACCTGAATATGCTGCATGTCCTCTCAGAGCGGCACTTACACCAAGTAGGGCTGTTTTTGCTAATTTTCTACGGTAGTTTATTGGAAATTTGTGCGCATAATGATTATTCTCTAAACATTTTCTGTGTGTGCGCTCTCCACTTCTGCTTTTATCTCATGTAGGAAGGCCAGTTTAAGTTTAATCAGGCTGTTTAATTACTATTGGCCCATTTTATTTGAGTGAAATACAGACCCGGCAAAGCTCTGCTTGGCTCAGTCTGGAGTGCTCTTTATTTTATTTAAACAAGAACGCTGCACATTGGCCAGAGTGTATATATATTTATTTATATTAAAAGTGAAGATGCAGCCCAGAGATAGGCTTGTTTTGTTTCACTTGGCATCTTATTTTATTATTCTCACTGTGTCACATCTCTTAAAGTGGAGGTTTGATGGAGTAACACCTAACTTACTTATCTCTCAATTGAGCCTATCCACTCTCAAAAATACGATCGCTTATCTGCGTTGTATCTTTAATCAGCCCTGAAAGAAATCCCCCCCAGATGGCCAGTTTTTTAAGTGACTGACTCCGCAATCTTCAGAGTTGATCAAAGCTCCCCTCTGCTGTAGGAGGAGATAAAACGCTAATTTAATATTGCTTTTCACTCTTATTTCTTTTTCAATTTGTGTCGCAAATATTGCACATCGGCAATGTCTTCATTTACATGTTTGTTTTCCAAGCAGCACTCAAGAGTGTCTCGAGAAACAAACCATTCAGGGGGAGCTAATTGCTGTTGTATTGCTTGATTGGAAATACTCGCAGCGTCAAACGAGAGCTGGTGGAAAAATTGTAATGGATTTGGTTGTGCTGCATGTTCACCGGTTGTTGTTTTTGGGTAAACATGGTGGTCCGGAGAACTGTGAACTTTCTCCTGGCCGGTAATTACGCTTCAGATTGGTGCGGTGTGGATGCTGGGAGCGGTTGAAGCATTTCCACACGGCGCTGCATTGTGCTCTCGACGGGCAGAAATGTGTTTGTCAGGACTTGGATGAGCGCCAGTGTGCCATACCCATCTAGCAGAGTGTTTGGTGCTATATCTGATAATAATCTCACACAAGTAACTGCAAACACTGCTGCTTCCTCGCTAATGGAGTAACGGAGTTCATAACCCGCCTTGGTGGGGGGAAAAACACTTCCAGCGCCGTGTTTATCAGAAATCTTCAGCGGAAAACACAAACTCAAGATGTGCTCCTTAATATAGAAGTTTGCATTTGGTCGACTCTATCTTCTTGTGTTGCTTCCTTATCCGGATGCAGAATCACTATTCACCGGCAGTATACTGATATTTAGATGACTACTACAGGAAATTTTCAATTATTCAAATTCCCTCACAGACATGTCGAGAGGAAGATTTACAATGCAAAGGACTGTGGGAGTGATGAGCTTTGACCTTGAATAAATGAAGGAAGAATTCCATTAAGTCTGGGTTATGATGCAGTTGGGAAACAAAGCATAGAGAATGTTTTGCATTGTAATGGATGGGTGGGCAAGGGGAGAATGGCAATTTGTTTTTCAAATGCCATTAACCACTTTAATCCCTCCGATTGATTTTACGAAGCATATGTTTCCAATTTTATGAAAAAGCCGCTTTGTTCTCGTTGCCAGTGCACGGCCCCGAGTCGAGAAGATGCTTGAACTTGTCAAGTTATGGGTTGGAGGTGTCTTTGTGGGACACTACTGGTTTACTTTGGCGACTTCATGCTCATTGGCCAGGTGTACAGAAGGGAAAGCAAACTGTGCTTCTCATTCATGTGTACAATCCAACGCAACGCCTCTATGAAGAGATCACCTGAAACGGTGTGTTGTTGTCCTCATTTGTGAAAAGATGTTGCGTCGCTTTGCCCCTTCGATGATTGACTTTTCACCCAGGATGACTACAACCAGCACAGTCAGAATTTACATCATGAGGGCTGCTGTTTAATAAAGCCTGAGTGGACCCTGAGGTCACGACGAGCCGCTTCATTTTTAAAAATCTGCTTTTTAGAGACCAGCTTTATTTTTCTCTTTTGAATGTCGTGGTCTAGATATTCTGTAAACCTTGATTCTTAAATTTCTCGGTGAGGTGAAGCTTCAGAATGATGTAACACAAAATCTACTTCCAAGTTTTATGGTCGTAAATTTCAGTTTTTGTCACCATATCTGCAAAAATCCACCGAAAAGTTTAAATGAACATTGTGGGAATTGTACTTTTTTGTCCAAAAAATGTATATTTTTCGGACTTATTTCAGCTCAAATGGCTGTTTTCAAAGAAATGACCTTTATCAATATGTATTTACTGACTCGCTGTGACAAAACGTGTGACTAACGCTGTGTAAATGGCACCTCAGTCAATGATAGACTGCAGCGAGCGAACCAGAGGTTTATTATCATAATCTGATGGTGTGGATGTAGTGCCCCATTCTTTAGTCTTGACAGGTCAGGACACGTCCCTCTGGGCTACATTTCTATCCATTTCTTACAGAGTGTGTAAAATCAGTATTCATCATCGCGTTTTGCTGAAGCTCCGTCTTTAAGATGTGAGTTGTCTTTCATCTTATCATCCAGATGGCAGCGGGCGCCGAGGGGATAAAACACGGCCACAGCTCGGGCTGACACAGCGTGACCTGTGGATGTACACATGGAAGACATAAGCTTTTAGGCAGAACATCTCAGCCAGACAGTGTCTTTCGTAGCCACTCATGTTTGTTGGCACTTCCAGACCCTGTATGTTGGCCGGTGTGTGCTCACAACATGCTGTAAAATCCACTTGAAGTCATTTTACAATGGTCGTAATTCCATTGTTTGTTGAGCAGGTTTTTTTTTTTTTCTCTAATATTTGCAGCGCTCTGCGGCAGCTGCGTTGGCAGAGTAAAATATCACAGTTCAGCAGATGGTGATGCAGATTCTGTTACTAATAACTAATGATTAGCCGGAAGAAACCCTGTGAAATGCATCCTTGTCCCAACTGTTTGATAACCACATTTAGAGTTTACTGAGAGGAAAACGGTTAAATATAAAAAAAATAATAGGTTCACATTAAAAACAATGACATATTAGCACCTAATAAATGTGTTATTGCCAATGTGATAGCAAGCAGTTGCTTATTTACACATTCGGGAGACACAAAGCGGCGTTTCTACGTGTTTGCGGCGTTGTTTCTGAGCCCCTGATGCACACAAGTCTGACATCCCCTCTGCTATTAAATCTGTTTTGGTCTCCAATGACTCGTTCTGTCATTTGATAAAAAATGTTTAGCTTTTAAGCTGCCATATGCGCCACTATGTAGTTGTCTGTCTGTTGTTAAATTGCCGGTCAGGTAGTTTACAGTCTGTTTCTCAGAGCTTTGCTAAAAGCAGCTGCCTGTGTGTAGCTGATGGCAGCGCCGTGAATCAACCAGAGTCACAGAAAAGATGCTTGAATTCTTTAAACAACGGCGTCGAGTGACAAATCTCTGTAGATTCGTTACTGTGCATATCTGCTTTATTATTTTATCCTTTAATCCTTTAAGAATATTGATCAACACAGCTTCAGAGCGAATCATTACGCAGGTGCTTCTGTTGCTGTATCTGCTGTTGGGACTTGTGTACTCACAAATATTGGCAGCGACCGCTAAATTCCAGCATCAGTCCGAGTCTAATCGATGCACACGCTCAGAGATTTGTTTATACATCCTCCTCCATGTGTACATACACACAGAGGCATGTCTGCAGTCAGGAGCATGGCAGCTCACGCCGCCACATGAAGCCTTATGTACACATGCAGAGAGGAAGCACAGACACTCCACAAAGCTGTTTCCCGTGAATTTGCATCAGTAAAATATCAAACTGCTTCAGCGGCCGCTGAGTGAACCTGCCTGAGTCGTTCTGTTGAGCGGGTATGTGGGCTGACTTCAGCTGGCTCTAACAAGTAGTCTTTAAATCTGCATCATTAAGTCGATTGGCTTTAGCAAAAAGATAAATTCACGTGTCCGCACCGTGCCACAGCCGCAAAAGCTGCTGATATGTGAACACGGTGAAAGCAAGCGACAGCGTCAGGGAAAAAAGGAGACGAGACACTCCACTGAGTAATGCTTCATGAGGTTTTTTCTTTAAGAGCTGGTGAGTTATGAGAACTTAGAAATACTCTGTATGAACTCAGGAACAGATGGAGAAAGGAAAACAGGAGAACCTACCTGGAAAGTGACATAAATGTATTCTACAAATACGCTAAAGTGCAATGCATTTTAAAAAAATGACAAACCCATCACGGCTCCCATGTTTCACCGAGCTGACAAAATCAAATATCATCCTGCCCTTTAGATAACAGAAGTGTGAAAGATTTAAAACATTTGCAGGTCGAAGAGAAAGAGGTGCAGCTCCTTCATGTGGGGAAGCCACAGTTATTACTTTTATGGGCAAATACCAGCCACAGGTTCTTGATCAAACACTCCAACATAGTCGTTAAAGAAATATGTTGGAGCAAGTGATGTGTTTTGTCCAACAAGCAGCCTATCAGCTTCAGATACAGACGGTGCAGACTGAACAGCTTCACTGGGATCTGTGGTCTGAGGAGAATGGACCCAGCATCACCTCTCCTGCACGGTTTGGAGCGTAAATCCCTGAACAGGCCTCCATCCTTCAAGTTAATTATCGTGGATCAGCACCCTGCTGCCAGTTACAGTTCAACCTTACAGTTAACAGCTGAGTCTCCGTGACACAGAAAGACTATCCGTGTGTTTGTGTACACGGCAGCGTTTCTAACGGCGAGAAAGAAGTCTGTTTTTTTTTATTTTTTCTCACTCTCGCCGTTTCATTTACGAGTATCAAGCCAGATCTAAAAATAGAAAAGAGCGAAAGAAAAAACTTCATTACATCTGATGCAGTTGCTTTTCCAGTAATGTGCAGCGAGCATAGATTGAGTGAGGCGCCGTCTGAAATTCACAACAAGCAGAAATGCAGCAATGCGTGTATGCAGGTATGAGTTATACCCACCTCCGGGCAGAGGGATTTACCGTTTACCCACCTAAAAATAGCCGTATATATCATTGTTCGTCT